GGACCTTTGTGAGTATGGGGTACTCTAGAGCATATTGGTTGTCCTTTTAGATGTATCAGAGTGCTTAGATTCATAAAAATGGTTGCTTGATCGTTTTCCTTAACTTATGCATGAGTTAAGTGACTTAGAGTATTGTAGAAGTTAGAGTTTTGTGTATTGAGCACTACCTAGACATTTAAAGGATTAAAGTCGGTGACTTTATGGGTTAAGACATTCTATAATGGTTAGATCTGAAGTTGGGATAAGTGTCTTAAAGGGTTAATACATAAAAGGTGTTGATTATGGACCAGGCAGAGTACACTGAGCGTACTCCTTGCTACGCCCCGCATAGCCAGTCCCGTCCCCGTTGATTGCTGACTCGAGCTGTATGCCACGCGTACGAATGAGAATGTAGACTTGTTGACTTTTGCTGGCTTTTGACTTTAGTCAAAAGATTTAGGGTTTTGAACCATGGAAGGGGAAAATGGTCTTTTTGCCCTTCAGGGGCGTAGTTGTGGGATTGGACCTATGAGTTGGGTTATAACCTTAATTGACTAGGGTTACTTGTTGTATTTATTAGGCGAAGTCTAGTTCCGACAGTTCGGGTGTGAGATTATCTGTCATCAGTATTAGGTGAGTCTCCTCACTTATTCTTAGACTAGCTATATCTGTGATGACCAGCTGGGTCTAACTATTATTATTGTGTTATGTTGTTTATGTGTGACTGAGACCGCAGGTAGTCTCCAGGGTTGCTAATAACCCACAGGACATGTTGTTTGCCCACTGAGACTTCATGTAGTCCCCAGGGTTGCTGATAACCCATAGTTGTTTATGTGTTGTGCTGTATGAGATATCTTGCGGAATTCAATAAGCTTCATGCTTACAACTATTGATTATATTTGTTTCAAGTACTTCTGAGGATCGCGAAAAAGCAAAGGTCTGGCTGTACATGCTTGCTAGGAGATTTTGTTACTACGCATTTTGTGGCACTCTGATATTTGTGATGTTGATTTGTATTTGAGACTTGTGATTTTCTGATGATTTGGTTTATGGACAATATTTTGGGTAATTTAAAAATGAAAAGTTTGGTTTGAAATTTGAGGCATTACATACACATACCTTGTTAACCCTATGTTTAACATAAGAATATCTTCAGCATAATCTCAAACTTTTATAGAATGATCGATTAACTTTCATTTAGTTAATTGTCTGGCCCTCTAACATTGGCCAATTATCACAACACAATTGATTTTTTTCTTAGTTTTAACAATCATCTCTCTTAGTTTTACCCTGGTTGGCAATTTCACTGGTGTAAATACCTACCAATCCAATATGGTGTAACAATAGACCTAATTTAAAATTTTCGGCATACTTATGATTTTTAGTCATAACTTTAATATGGAATGATCTTTCCTTATACATCTAAGTGGCATAGAGTCGAAAAGGGGATATGCTGAGTTATTTCTTTTTCCCATATCTAGTATCAATTCTAATATTGTCACACTTCTAAAAATATATTTGATAACCGTTATTAACATACCATTTTCTTAAGCATAATTTCAAATGGACAAGTGAATAGTCATGTCGCCAACCATGGGTTTCATTTTATGCTAATTGATTCTAGGATCATGAATACGATACTTAAGAACCTCACCAACCTCATCCTCTTTAGTGACATATTCACTTTGATAATCACTATGATTATACACTTAAGGTATAAAATCGTCACTCATATTTGAAGATGTATTTTGTAAATTGTCATCTTCATAGGCTAAATGCCAATTTTTTTAGGAAAAGCCTTTCAAATTTAGAGTTTTTATGGTAAAAATTGACTATTAAAACATGGATACTTAGTAAACTAATCATTACAAATGATTTTTTTTAAGAGAATAACTTTTTTTTCTGGTTTTTAAAAGTAGTCACTTTCTCCCAAATGCTTTATTACAGCCTGTTCTTAAAATTCTGAAGTTCTTCTTCTTTTTTTTTTTTTTTTGCATTTTTTTTGCATTTTTTTTCTTCAAAAAAGTCTCTCTACTTATACTTGAAATGTCCATTTCGACGCGTTTGGTATTACCGTTTCAGATTAAATGTTTGATTTTAAATCATATTATCAGTATATATTTCATATTTATTATGTTTGCTTATTTTTTGTTAAATTTTAGTAAAAACAACTCTTTTTTCTTGAAATTTCGAACTGTTCTTCGAATTTGGGATTTGTTATTGAATATTTTTTGTTAATTCTAAAATTTTGGGACGAGTTTTTTTTTTTTTTTTTTTTTTTTTTTTTTTTTTTTTTTTTTTTTAATTCTAAAATTTAAGTCTAAAATCCAAATATTAATTCGGATTTTCAAATTATATTTTTTTTATTATAAAAAATATTTTTTTAGAGTACTCAATTGTACCATTTACCCATTTTAATAGATTCCTCGTGTCGATTCATCCGTCGGAAGCCCTACCAGAACCCTCCGAGCGTAAACACATACTTTCGATAAAGAAGAAGCACCGGCGACCTATGGCGAGTGTCTCCACCAGACGTACCCTAACCTCTATATTCTATCGTCTCAGATCATCACCATCATCTTCAATCACTTATCGCTCTCGATTTGCTCTCCCACTCCTGGACCACCATTACCAATCTCCACAACTCGCTCCTAGAATCCCTGTTCGACTCAAAACATCCGGGTCGGGTTATTCTCCCTTGAACGATCCGTCACCAAACTGGAGCAACCGTCCCCCAAAGGAGACTATTTTGCTTGATGGCTGCGATTATGAACATTGGCTTATCGTCATGGAGTTCCCCACCGACCCTAAACCCTCCGAAGATGAAATGATAAATTCCTATGTCAAAACCCTAGCTTCTGTTCTCGGAAGGTATTGCCATCAACATATGTTTTTCTTCATATTATAATCTATGTTTAATTGTACTGTATTATTAGGAATTTCTACTTAATTGTATCCTTTTGCTTCTTACGTTGTAAAACCCTGGTTTCTGTCGACTCCCCATTTCATAATCACAGTTGTCAATTTCCATCAGAAAACTCTCAAAATCTTTATCATATTTTGAAGTTAGAGATTATGAAAATGTTCTTAATCATACCCTAAAAGTTTGTCAATTGCATTAATGTATTAGTAGTGATCTGCATTATGATTATGTATGAAGCGTTTTGGTTGTTTCTTGGTTTCCAGTGAGGAGGAGGCAAAGAAGAAGATTTACTCTGTTTCAACAACAACTTATACTGGATTCGGTGCTTTGATATCTGAGGAGTTATCCTACAAAGTCAAAGGTTCTCTTAAATCTTTAAGCTCTTTAGGGTTAAATGGTGAACTTTCATTTAGTGGCTAAAAAGAATAAATTAAGTCATAAACAAACACGCATATATTGCTTACCAGATTAACATTTTTTTTTTCTTTCATTCAGGTCTACCTGGTGTTCTTTGGGTTTTGCCTGACTCATATCTTGATGTTCCCAATAAAGATTATGGAGGTTTGTACTTTTTTTTTATAAATTTTTATTTATTTATTTATATAGCTTACCAGATTAAGTCATGTTTGTATATGTAGGAGATCAATTTATTGATGGGCAAGTGATACCGCGTCCTCAGTACAGATTTGCAGACAGACAACAAAACACAAGGCCGCGTCCACGGCCTCGGTATGATAAACGCCGTGAGACGATGCAAACTATACGTAGAGAGCCGGTTCAAAGAGAGGGGTGGGCCCACGATCGGAGAGATACTATTGCTCAGCCTCCGGCCGCCTACCCTGCCGCCCAAAATGGTGGTGGAGGGTTTACGGAAAACTAGGGTGTGTTTTTGGAATCTTAAAACAAAATTGGATAAGTTAAAGTTTAGTAAGTGGATTTTTGCTAGTGATGTTAGCTTGTTTTGCATATGATGTTTTTGAGAGCACTTATATATTGTTTATTTATATTTTCTTGTGATTTCATTGCTACTTTTGGATGTCGATGAAAAGCGAAATCTAATATTTCAAAGAAGCATAAAACATGTTCAAGTGATCTCTGTAAATAAACTTAAGAATCAGTGTTAAATGTCACGATTACACATAATTCACTTTTTCGTGCTAGAATATAGTTGACACAATTTATAAATCCACATTTGACTTCCTTTATTTGATTATCCAATAACCAACAATGGGTTTAATTCAACATTTTGATTTAAACCAAGCTTTATAACAACTAGTCAACATATTATTTTCATATGTTAATTGTCAAGCAATTTGATACTTTTCCATTTAGAACTTCCACTTAGGGTTCTTGACCCATTTCAATCAAATGATGACAATCTAAACTTCATTCTTGATAATTTAGTAGTAACATGTTTACAAGGTTATTCCTTTACCACATTCATCTCTTCAGCTAACAACAACATAAAAGTTTGGGAGGTGCCATTTGACTTTTAAAACTATAAAATAAATATGCATTATTTGTATTATAAATACTTGAATTAATAAAAACACAATATTGATTACGTCCTTTAGTTGAATCCTAAAATATACATGAAATCAATGAACATTTGTGTAATCAACATTTTTTTTTCCCTTTCTAAAATTTGATTGTTGTATAAAATACAAAAGGGCTTGCCTTTTTCATCAAAACAAGAATGTCATTGTTGGTGACCAACTTTATCTTCTTTGTTATTTTCCCTGATTCTTTCTTGTAAAACACATTTTTTCTATGTCCTAGATGGATCTATCATTTACAACATATTATACATGTTTCACTCGTAGCAATGACAACATCAAACTCTCCATATTTATAGAATAAAGGATAATCTGCACCTTCTAACTGGCCCAATAAATTCTATAATTTAAAAACCTTATACATAAAAAAACCTAACTACATTTTAGAAAATATTAATCAATTTTGACTGTTTTTGTGTAAATGACATCAAACTGAAAGTCGAGTTGTCTCATTTGATCAATATATAGTTGGGTGGTATTCTTTAGATTTTTTGCATTAGTCTATTTAAAGGTACCAAAGAGGCGACTTACAAACTCCAAGGGGTAAAAGTATTCATTAAGCCAAATGTAAGGGACCATTTATGTAGTTTTCTAGACTCTTAGATGATCAGACCAAAACACCTCTTTCGGCGAAAAAAGGATCCAAGAATCCATTTTTCTTCAAATCTGAGCTGGTATCCGCTTATCAACTAACCCCGATCAATTTTCCGTCGGAACACGGCGGCTACGACGGCGGATACGGCGGCATCAAGCGGTACGACGTAAGGTACGCCCTGTGTTTATCCAGATCGCATTCATTTTTCTCCGATCTGTTTGTTCTACTTTCTGTTGTGTCATCAAAATCGTTTCTGAAAAATTGAAATTCAGATCCTGTAAGGCAATATCCAAAAAAAGAAAAAAAGAACCTTTAATATGAATTCGAATTACGGAAGATCAAATCAATCTGGATCTCTCAACAACTTCGATTTCGATCTCGGAATCAATTCGAATCGTTCCAAACCTCTTAATGCTCAGAACAACAATAATACTTTCACGCAACCTAAGCCTTACACCACGACGCCGTCGTGGCAACCCAACAAACCATCCTGGACTCACCAACCCGCCGCTCCTGCGCCGTCGTCCACTCTCGGCGGCCCTTTAAATGGACCGACATCAATGGTTGGAGATATCACGGGAAGAAGCTGGGCTTCGTCGGCACCACAGCGTCCTTCAAGCACTTCGAATATCGGGATTGCGAGTAAAAACCCTAATCTGTTTAGTGATTTGCTTGGATCAAATCTAGGTGCAGGTAAAGGTAACAATAGTAATGTTCCATTGAAGAATGTCGCACCTGCTTCATCACAAACAGCTAGTAGAAGTGCTTATTCAATGGGAGGTATGGCCAATTCATTGCCGAAACCTGGTAATACTATGAACAGTAGTGGTGGTACTGGTTGGGGTTCTTCTTCTTCACAAGGTTCTGGGAATTACAACACAAGTGGTTATGGCAACAAGAATCAAAACCTTGGAGGTTCATCAATGAAAAGCTCAACCATGAGTGGCATTGGAGGTGGCATGAATTCAAACAAGGACCCCTTTGGATCTTTAGTTGATTTCAGCTCTAAACCAGCTTCTGGAACAAAATCAGGAAACAAAACAAGCACACCAACAAAATCAGGGGATGATATGTTTGGTAGCTTTCAAAATGCATCAAAAGATTCAAAACCCAACACCAATCCCAGTTTCACAGGTTCATCCATGGGTTCTCATTCTCAATCAAAAGTGGATGATTTTGGATTTGGTTTTGGTAATATTTCAAATCCACCACCAGTTCAATCATCTAAACTGGATGATTTTGGTTTTAATGGGAAACAAAATCAACCACCAGTTCAATCATCAACAGGAAATGATTTTGACATTCTTTTCACTTCATCTTCAAAAGATTCAGAGAATCTTGTAAGCCAACAATTTGCAGGGGCTGAAGATTGGGGTTTTGAGTCTGACATTGGAGGAGGAGGATCAGGAGGTGATGTTGGTGGGACAACTGAGCTTGAAGGGCTTCCACCACCGCCAGCTGGCGTTACATCCTCATCAGCAAAGAACAAAGGAATGGATAATTATAAAGCAGGACAATATCCTGATGCCATTAAATGGCTTTCTTGGGCTGTGATTCTTTTGGAAAAAAGTGGTGATCATGTTGGCGCCATGGAAGTCTTGTCATCTAGAGCTTCATGTTACAAAGAAGTAGGAGAATACAAGAAGGCAGTTGCTGATTGTTCAAAGGTACTTTTTTTTTTCTCTCCATTAAAATTGTTCCTTATCTTGTTATAATTATTATGATTATTACTTTTCTTACATCAAGACTCTTATCTCGATATGCATTATGTCCATGGGATCATGGGAAAGAAACTATCTCTCAATCTCTTGTTTGTGCAAAAAGACGAAAATACCCTTACCATTTTTTGTTTTCCATAGGTATTGGAACAAGACAAGAAAAATGTTTCAGTTTTAGTACAACGTGCTTTATTATATGAGAGTATGGAAAAATACAAACTTGGAGCAGAAGACTTGAGAACTGTGATGAACATTGATCCAGGAAATAGGGTTGCAAGAAGTACTATACATCGCCTTACTAAATTGGCCAGCTAAGCAAGGATTTTATAAAAAATGATGTTTTTTTTTTTTTTTTTTTTAATATATATTTTGTGTTCACGGGTTTCTTGTTATATGGGTAATAATTTTCGAAAATAGATATTTGTTGAATTTGAGTTTTATATGATCACAAGGGTGTTGTATTTTCTGGTGTTTTATAGTTTGTTTCATTGTATTGATTGTAAAATTGACTTGTTCTTTTGATAATATACATCCTTAACTTGTCTTTTATGATTTAATTTTTCTTTTTAATATTGCTTCTAGGATTAGGATTATGCTGGCAAGTTTTTCAATTTTATTTGGTATGTGCTGTTTGTATGGTGTATGTATAGATGATGTGACCTGTAATAGCATAAACAAAGAGAGCATTGAGAGACCAAGCATAAAACTTTTATAATTGTTTCTTTCTAATCAAAATGGTTTCCATGGCTAGCGAGGAAGAAGAAGAAGGGTTATTATCAACCAATTGACCAAACTGCCATGTAGATCTATTGAATTGATCGTACTGTTGATTGGACTACCACGTCATCTGAGTAACTGGGTTACCCGGTCATATTCTGAAGGTGACCTTTTAAACCCAACAATATACACTTTATGCCCCTAAAACACAAGAAAAAAACCTAAGGGACCATTTAAACTAATTCATAAAAATTGGTTACCTAACAGTGACATTAACCCCCACAAATATTCATCAAAATCTAAAACATAAGGAAAAAAAAAAAGGAAATAGTTACGGAAAACTGGCTTCTGGAAAAAATTTCTAAGAAAAATGTACAATTTGAAAATGCATTTAATTTAACATATTTCAAGAAAAAAGTATTTTCTACAATTACAAAGAACTATAAAAATTGATAATTATTGTCTTCTATAAATTTTCAATTATAATAGTTTCTAAAATATAAACACGTTCATTCTCCACCTCCCCATCAAAACCAAAACCCACAAATACTATTCTAATTCCAAAAAATTTTAAATATAAACCACACATTCACCCCACCCATCTTTCAGGTGGGGGTGTGTGGATGTGTGGAGACAGTGATGTTTTATATTTTATATATATATATATATATATATATATATATATATATATATATATTTGAAATTGAAGAAATAAATAAAATAATTATAAAAAAAGAGTTAAAATGTACCATTTGAACGGTTTATATTAACCCATTTCAACCTTCGAACACTAATACTATTTTGGTTGTTTCTAGGTTTGAACATTCAACCTCCTCTTTGGAATTTCACTCCTTAACCTTTAGGTCCCATCGTGGGGGGCAATTGGAGAAGTATGGACGGTTGTAGATGGGTGTATGTGTGGGGGTGCAGGTGTTGGTAAGAATGCGGTGAGGTGTGTATGTGTGGAGGGGGTGGGTGTGGCTAGAGTTAGGTGGGGTGGGATTTGGTTGGAGGTTGGATACGAACAAATGTGCAAATATGTTAAATATTGTATTATTTGTAAAGATAAATTGTATAAAAGTCATTATATATTGAAAAAAAACGATTTTGACACTGTTATTTTTTGTAACAACTTAGTTACTAATGTTTTTGCAATTTCAACCACTTGACCTATCAACTTAGTTACATGTTGACGTATTTCTGATATGATGCTATTTGGTTATGTGGTACAAACATGGCATGAGACCGTTTCAAAATTGACACTCCAATTTTTCAATACTATAGGATTTTAATTGTTTTTTCAAGATGTATCTCGGATCCATTTATAAGATTACATTTTTCGAATGATCAAAACTTTTTAAGAGGTTGGTGCTCATACTGCCCTACTATAGGATGCCCCCAAAATCTTACTAGCATTTTATTGATGTTTGGATGTATATTTCAAAAGTGATCATGATGTATTAATTAATATAAATAAAAAATCAATAGTTGTAATAAGATGAGTTGCAACTAGTATTTGCATATACATCCTTTGTGAAATGTCCGCGAGCTCATTCTTCTTTCGTCGTATGTTAAAAGCATCTAATCCTAGTCTTTATGTTGTCTGTGTCAAAGGATTTAGAGTCTTAGATGTCCTACTGTTGAACAATCTCATCAAGTTTGTTAGATACATATAATATTATAATGATCATCATAATTAACTGTTAGACGTCTATTTTTCAGGAATAATGTTTTGCCTAACTTTGTATTAATAATGCATCTCTTTTTGTATGGTAAAATGAGACTTACGTGATTGTAGTGAAAGTCCATCTTCATCTAGAGGCAATACACATTTCTAGAACCTAGATCCAGCATTCTCTTTTAAAAGTCATATTTACTTGTTTTTGACTTTTAATATTGACTCAATTGTATAATCCTCATCCACTTATCGTTAACTTGCATTTTTAAACCTCTTAAATTTATTAAAAAAAAGGTTAATAACTTTTTTTTTATGTAAGTAGTCATTTTTATTTTTACCAAAACATCTAATGAAGGTGTTTCCTTATCAATTGTGGTTAGTATTTTGATTTGTTACTAAAATGCATATATAAAATAATAAGAGATAAACTTTATTAATGACGAAAGAAAAAGAAAGAGATAGTTAGAAAAAGAAAAAAAGTTGTTATTAAAATGCATATATAAAATAATAACAGACAAACTTTATTAATATTGAAAGAAAAAGAAAAAAATAACTATTATACTTTGTTATTTTTCGTGTTATTTAGTTAGAGGAAGTCACAACTTATTAACTATATAATTATACCCTTCATGCATAAATTAACTTAATTTGAAATTAATCATTGTTTTGTGATTAAAGTAAACTAGAATGATCATACCCCTGCTTTGTGGGGACTAAATCTGCCGAAATAAGAAAGTATAGGGACCAAGTTTACTAATATACAAAAGTTTGGTGGCTAAAGTCCAAAACTTAAAAGATGTAGGGACCATGCATAAAAATATATGAATCTTACAGAGACTAAACCTACCAATATCAAAAGTGTTGTGGTTAAAGTCTGAAACCCAAAAATTATAAGGACCAAACCTCCCAATATACAAAACTATTGTGGCCAAAATATGAAATATAAAAATATACGATTCATTTGACGATTGTAATTAGTATATTTAGGCATTGTTGTGTGATTAAAACAAACTAGAATGATCTTATCCCTCCTTTGCGCGGGGGAGGGGGAAACATGCTGAACTAAGAAAATCTAGGGACCAAATTTATCAATATACGAAATTCGTGGTTAAATATGAAACCCACAAAGTATAGGAAAAAAATGGCAACATATAATAGTTTAGGTACCAAACATGGCAATATATGGAAATGTTTTGGTCAAAGTCTGAAACCTAAAAACTTTAAGGACCAAACATGTCCATATATAAAACTGTTGTTGTGGCAAAAATATGAAAAATAAAAATATACTATTCATTTCACAATTTTAATTAGTATATATAATAATTTTAACATTTTATCTTTTCCTTTCTCTTAATATTTTTTTTTAAATTGCAAAATAAGTGTATTATATTTTAATTTAGGCATGCATGATTGTTGATAATCGAGAATCAATTCTACTAATAATACTAGAGCAATTTATAATAAAAGTTTCTTTAAAAGCTTTTATATTTTAAAAAGCTCAAGAAAATTGAAAACACTATTAAAGGGTTTTTTTTTTTTTTCAAACCTAAGATTTTTAAAACGTTTGTTAATTAACAAGTTTTTTTGTCACAAGCTTTTTCAATAATTTGGTCGCATAAATTTTCAATCAGTTATAAGTAAAACAATCTATACAAGAGCTCACAAATAAGCAAATTGAAAAAACAAATAAATAAATAAATTATTGTAGTCATAAAATATATTTTTTGTTCATTAGAAAGCTCTACCAAAATAATTCTCATATCGAGGATGTTATGGGTTATAGTTTTTGAAAAGAAGGGTCAATAGTGAATACTACAACGATTGTGGCCTCTTTAACAGAAAAAAGTTGAAACAATTAGGCTACATTTTATACATTTCATTTATCTTTGGAAAATGTCAGTGTAACATATTAAAATTTTGTTATTTTTTCAATTTGGTCATATATATATATATATATATATATATATATATATATTATATATATATATATATATATATATATATTCTTAAATTATCATTTTACCTGATAAATAAAAGAATTATCCAATTTGATTCCGATTTCACCATTTATACATAGTCTATGTGGCTTTTTCTATTTTTTTTTTTAAATAAAAAATTGAAAATGTGGCTTTTTTTCTTTTAAAAATTGAACCCTAAATGAAACCAACAAATCCACCGTTTCCACCATCGTTAGTCTCCACCGTCACTTGTTGCAGTGTCGTCCATGTCTTCTGCATCGTTCACATCTTCATCTTCAATCACCGACCGTCCTTCACATCTCTATGGGTACGAGATCCGGTGACTTCCCAAAGTTAGATCTAATGACTTCCTAAGTTGTCTTCTCTAATTCCTCTATGAACCACAACCGTCAACATGGTAAGGTTAACCGGAGTAGACATAGAAGAAGACACATGAAGCTGACGTGTCCGGCCAAGGGATGCGTGAACACCGCCCCAATGGCCGATAGCTTTGGTTTGATGGCTTCATGAAGATGGACGCTCACGAGGATGATGATTGACCATTTTTTTTCTTACCGTGGTGTTGACTGTTGGCTTGTTAAAAAAAATCTTTTTCAATTTTAAAATTAATCTCTCTATATATACATACACTTTATACATTTTTTACATACATTTTACACTACAAAAACACACAGTCTCTTCCCATATTCTTTATTTTCTTCAACCTATAGATCCAAATTAAAATACCTCACACACACCAAATACCCCAAACACTGCAAATGATCCATTTGCAAATCTTAGTTACATACAATTGATAACATTTCCTATCCAACAACAACATCTATTCACCAATCTATCATACCACCCAAACTACTACCAACAACAACGACCACCACAATTCAATCAACTCCAATTTCAAGTCTTTCAACAACAACTTTTTCTACAATTTCAACTCCAATATTCTCAACTTCAACAAGTTCACACACAACCTTCACAACAATCTTAAGTTCCATTATCTCAATCCCAACCTATAAACCTCGACAATGAGGACGACGACGAACTGGTCCAAGAAACACAACCAGATCGTAGAAGGCAAAAAAATAAATCAAAAGATAAAAA